CAATTAGTTATTTTATGTAACAAGAAATGAATCAATTTAAACATTTAACCAAGTAGTCAATTAACTATTGGTAATTTTTTTATTAAAAAGGGAAATAGCTTCTGCAATATTGAGATATACAGTTTTAAGAGCGGAGTTATTCCCCTTAGATAAGTTTGTTTTTATAAGTATTTCCAAATTTTGCATCTCTGTAGCCTCCAAAACCTGTGCTTCATCAGTCTCTTTCTTATAGAACAATTTTGTTTCTTTGTACAGTGTCCATTAAGTGTTAGGCTAGCGCCCATTTATGACCCTTGACCAAAATGAAGGATTTTACACTAAGGCCTGGATTATGATAAGCTCTTCACAAGTACTCAAGAAGTCCATATCAACTAGTTAATGATTTAATGACTCTTTGTTCCCCACACCTGGCGAGGTCTGAGGCCGATTCCAGGAGATATTCTTCCATATTCCCATATCGGTTCTAGATTATGCCTTGCTAAACATCCTTAACTGTTAACCTCGTCTCCTTACATTTTCCAATCACTAACAAATCACAAAAGTGAACAAAGGAGCATGTCAACTGTCAGAGTTGTGTTTAAAGCTTTAGCTCGTTTGAACGGACTCCTGACATTCCACAGGCACCTTCGTGCTCACAATAAATAAGTGACTCGCTGTGAACAATATAATAGCTTAATGATATGAATGTAAGTTATAATGACAAACTGATGGAGTAATATCATTGAGTTCAAAACATTATAATATTGTGGATACATTAATTAAACAATCATTCTGCACCTTGCTGTCCCACAACGCAACACATTAGTACGCATAACACTGGCCCACTGCCGACCCTAGTCTCCAATGTGAACTTGATAATCCCAGAACTAGATCCCTGTAGAGACATTCAAATGGAAAGATCTAGTCTAAAACACTATGGCAGCGAAACAACTGCGAAATGCAGCAATGCTTTAGATACTCACCCAAAACAGGGGGACACAGACAAAAGAAACGTTACATCAGCATAATAGCAAAGCCACTCCATAAGCTTACAAGCGAGGCAACAAAGAAAGTGCGTTCAACAAATTGTGCACCTAGCAAACATTGGTGCTAGAATACCATAACCTACGCACCGACATCAACGTCTCTATATCGACTCGCTTACAATAAAATTTGGTTGTTAGCGACTTAATTTATCTCAGTGCAACTAATATTCATTTTTAAGTTACCACAAAAATAACGTACAAAAGTATATATATGTACACACTAGCCAGTCTCATTTAGAAGTAACACCTCATGGTGATTTTGTAAAGTAAAAAAAAAAAAGAGAATAATACTATTCATGATGCAATGTATAGATCAAATAAAACACAATAAATATATATATATATATAAAAGCAATACAAAATTAAAACTCTACACACAGTAATATAATACAATTCACTGCAGCAATACTGGAGATCCCTACAGATTAAAGCTATTGGTCTGTTTAGAAGACACGTTCTGCTTTAATCTAAGTGGGGGGGGGGAGACATACATAAATTGTGTAGGAAAGAAAATAACTAAAACTACATAGATATTTCAGACTGGAAAAAAAAAAAACAAGTGACAATAGATGTAAACGAATATGGAAATTATATAGCGCCACCTCCAGGCAGTGACGGCTTCAAGTCAGGTGTGTCAGCTATGTCAATCTGGCTGTCAGCTGGTTTCGAGTAACTTGTTGAACGTCTGTCAGTTCTGTAATCGTAATCCGGGGGTGTCTTGCCCCTCTTTCAGTCATTAGATAATTTTATTTCTTGGCTAAGCAAAATCGTAAATAATTTCTAGTATCACTGACGTCATTATTATCGTCACTATCAGCATTATCTTCAAGTTTATCATCATCTTCATTGTCTTCGTCATCATAATCATCTTAATGATCGTCACTATCACCATCATCATCTTCATTCTCATTTTCAACATCATCATTAATCATCATCATATCCCTTATCATCATCATCTTCACTATTATTGACATCTTTATTATCATCGCTAACCTTGTTACCATGCGTACCGGAGTTCAGACTGCTTTACCGATCCTCATTGGAAATTTGTTGTGATTACAAGGTCAAGGACTCTTTTCTCAAATTAAAACAACTGCAAAAACATTCACATAAATAGAACAGACACAAACACAAAAAGTTCATTTGATGACGACACATAGATGTCTTGATTCCTGTCACGTGTCCTAGTCATTGAGTCGCGCCGACACAGTCTGACTGAGTCAGGAGGAGAGAATTTCTTGTACCATTCGGTTTCAGTCCTGACCGACAGAAGTCGCCCACTTCGTGAAGGCTTGGCGCAAATATAATGGAGCGGGTGGTTGTTGTCTTCTGAGAATTTACCGATTTTGCTGAGACATTTTAAACATAGTAGTGTTGGGCGTGTGATTTATGAGATTTAGCTGAGACATTTTAAATATAGTAGTGTTGGGAGTGTGATTTATGAGGCTCTTTTTAAAAGGTTGTCTAAGCGGCGCAATAGTTCAGATTACTTTAGATGACACGTTGTCTTTCCAACAGGTTATTGCATATGTTAGCAGACTTTGTATTGTCGCACAGTTGACAACTCAGATGTGATGTTTACATCATTGCATCATTAATTTGTGATTAAGATGTTCGAGATGAGCCATAGACTGAAGGAGGCCAATGATAATGATGATGATGATTATGATGATGGAAGTACTATACCCATCAATTGTAAGATTAATATGCTGAGTATACCCACATGGAAACTATTGCAATTCCTACAATTAAGGTGTATTTATAATAAGCCGAAAGAGAAAACGCCCAAGGCTCGCTTAAGCTCGTCCTTGATCGATGGTCACAACCTATTGAACTACGACCTAGCCGAGTATTGTCGTCGTAAGCATAGTGGCAATGAGGATGTCCAAACCAGTAACCGTAACCCGCCAAAGGCTGACCAGGTATCAATAAGGTCGCCCCTCTGAACCCAGGGCACGTTGGGGCGTCGTACCTGTACACGCACCACTCCAAGTCCCCTCTTATATTTCCTTTAGGTTCCCTGGAAATAATTTCCCCGAAGCTGACCATCTTCTTGGTGCCGTGGGGGTAGCCTATGATCGAAATGATTTTTTTAGGGTAGTTTTCCCGTTGGAATTCTTCGTACAGTGATCTTTGGCTTTGCTCGAAATCCGTTATAGCCGCAGGGAGTGTGTTTGTGTTATCTATATCGTGAGTGATAAAAATGAGTTCACACCACTCACTCCTGACCGACTCCTCCTCGCCTTCACTTTTGATGCCGCTGAAATGATAGTGACAGTTAAAGTCTTCAATACGTAGTTGAATATTTTGGTCACGTGATCGTGGCTCAATAATAATAGAACTCACACAAGTCACGGTCAAAATACGTATCTCGTGAGTTCTAGAAACGGAACAATTTGGATCGGGACAGTCACTTCTGTTTGACGTGTTCACTTTAGACTTTCGAACACGTTGCACTAGCCCAGTACACATTCTGGTTCCGTTCTGTACTCGACACGTCAGTGTTGACATGTGCATGATACATTTCTTAAGGGGCTCTCCAAAACGTCGTGCATCTCTTGGCATATCCATGACTTCCAGCTGGCTCGGCTCTATGTAATGTTTGTGATTACATATTTTTTTGCATTCTTGCCAAGCAGTTTCCGCATTTGTAATGGATTCTATCTCTTTTGTCCCTGCAAGAAAAATGGAGTTTAAAAAATATACATATGTATTATTTCGTTTATTTCTTTCATGAAAGAATCAACTTTTTAATTTCGGAATCATCTTGTACGCTTACAATAACATAACATTAATAAAATTACACAAATCAACGGCTGACTGGTCGCGTAGTATGTGCTCAGGACTGTCGTCTCGGTGATCAGGGGTTCTAACCCTGCACACCGCCATGCAAGAGGTTTAAGTTATATGTAATATTCTTTAATTCTGAAGAAACATTGGTAATTTATCGTCAATTCAAGATGGATAACTTTTAAAATTTAATGATAGTTAAGTCTTCTGTGCTTCACTCGTCTAAATTAATCAAAACAAAAATTAGCAGCATAACTAGTTCATTCATTTTGCGCTTACCTAGATAATGATTGCAATTATTATTACATATGTTATGTAATTTAATGTCTACTTTGGTTGCACGAGGATAGTATCTAGAGAAGAGCTAAATAACACCATGTCACATTTCCTAGACACAGTTAATTTTTTATCTGCATCTGGTACTGAGTGCTGGGTAGCTCAAGATATTGGAAAGTGGTACTTATGTAAACCATCATTTGATTAGTTGCTGGTCAGGCTGAATATAAATACTCCTTTCATTAATCACCAAAAAGAAACACTATTGCTGATAGGTCAAAGTAAAGAAAGTGTTCCTTAGCGCTGAAGGTTTCAATTCCTCACAGGGAATGTACTCAATGGAAAGGAGTCTTACACAGTAGATGTGAGCTTGGGAAGCACACTTTATTATTTATTTATTTTAGATAAAAGTTGTTTTATTAAAGACACATAATAAAACTGAATGTATACTTATTCGACTTCAATGTTTGCTTTTTCTTTTTTTTTTAGATTAAATTATATTCAAAAGTATTTTACATTTGGTAAACAATGTTATCTCTTACTGTTTGTAAGTTACACAAATTTGTTTTTCGTGTAATGCTATCTATTCAATTATGTATTTTGTATAGAACTTAGTGTACGGTAACAAGAGAGTGAAAAATGAAAACTTTATTTATGGCTTTGGTTTGCTCACCACCAAGGGCCTTAAGTGTAAAATGTATATTCACTTGAAGTGAACTCGTGCTCCCATAAATATTTTGCTTCCAATTAGTAGCAAAGAAAAGCTATCTCCCTTGGTAGAACTATTCAGTTTTCAGAGGCACTTAAGGAATATTTGATAGAAAATAAAATATGACTGGAAGGATGAAGTATTAGAACTAGATTAAAATGAAAAAATCCTTTGACTAAATGGAGAGATCAAGTCCTTGCAATATCGAGTGTTCTTTCAAGGATGCTAATGTTGGTGATTCACAATTACCTTCTTAACCTATGCTACATTGAAGATAAATAAATAAAAAAACTTCTTGACGTGTGAGTGAAACTATATGTGATTGTTGATAAACTATTGTATACTTGTATAATGTAACTTTAATCAACACAAAGATTTAAACTAGTCTAATGATGTGGTAGTTTATTGATATGGTATAGGTGATGAACTTGGCATTCTCAATAAACAAGATGGCTGAATAGTCATGTGGCATGCACTTCGAGATGGCATCATGATAGCCCTGAGTTCTGGGGCTAAGACGTAATAAATCTTCATAATTGAAGGAACGTAGACCAAAAACAAATGAAAGTTGTAAGAAAGAAAGAAGTCTCTTAGCATATAGGCTTGAGCTTATGCTATCTCTGAGTCGTTAGACATAGAACCCAATGATAGTTATTAGTTATACATCCATATTCACTACAGCATTTAGTTTCAATTGATGTCCTTTGTCGACACGTGTATAAACTTATTTTTACATTTTGTTTACTATGTAAAACTTTGTTATAGTATTAAACAATGGTATGACAGTAAAAGAGAAATGAATATCCCCTTTTCAATGTATTGACACAATGTTGACCATCTGAAATCCCCTTTCTCTATTATGCAATCCATTGTTTCATTTGTATTTCTTTATTTGCATTCACCCCATTCTGTTTTACTGTACATGCCTGTATGAGTTGTTTTTTTGGTTATGTCCCTTGTGTTTCAAAAATGATGTGATAAATAATGTCAGTTTTTTTTTTCATTCTCCTCTTGACATAATTTAAAGAGTTGTATGTGAGACACCTTGAGTATGCTTGTATAGATATGTCTAGGTAGGATTCAACTATTAAAACATCCATGACCAACAAAAAAAAAAAAAGGTGTTAATTATGCTAGAATTCATTTACATTTTTATGTTTGATCTAAAAAGTAAACAAATGTCTACACAACAGAAGAAAAGTTAGGGTTGAGGTCTATGGTTAAGGTCTCCTGGAGATATTTCGTTTTCAAAACTATTAAAATGGATGTCAAAGTAAAAAATTCCTTTTCACCGCAATTGCTCATTGTTACTGAGAAATGGATCACGCAATCAGGAATGATAGTTTTATATCATACGTGTGCTATTTCAAAGAACAATCATCCAATCATGATCTTACAATTTTACTACTGGCAGTACTACTACTAGTTACAGTACTAGTACTACTAGTCTGTAGATTAGTACTACTGGTGCCGGTGCTGCTAGTTCTCGTCAACGACAACGTCATAGATCTACCATTTCTATGTCTACACTTCATACATGCACAGGTATTTGGATATAGACATTGTAGAATGAGATACCTTTACGCAGATATTCGTGAAATTCGAGTGAAGCAAAAAATTGAACAACCTTTATGATTGGTTTGATCAGTTTGCCAGAAGAAAAGAGACGTAATCCCATAGGTAACAAAGAAACATTATTTCTTTCATCCTGTCTGGGAGATGGGCATGATGTATTCTTGGCCCTGAAATAGCAGTAAGAGACTTCAGAAACAAAGCCATCAAATTGAAGCCATCTGTTCAACTTCTATGTAAGTGGACAGAGCGTAATGGGAGCAATGCCACCTATGATTTGCTCATAAATGGCCTCAAAGAGTTTGAAGACTATCACCCTGGATTAATTGAATGGGGAAAAAAAAAAAAACAGAGTTATGAAATAACAAACCAGATGATTTTGTTTATAACTCTGTACATTATATTTAAATGTTGATCCACAGTCACACCACTGTCTTCAAAACAAAATTTGACTATCAATCTGATAAAATAGTCTTGTCAAAGGATTGTGGCGATTTAATATTATATTGTGAATTATTTATTTTCTATACTTGTCAAAGGATTATGAGTGTGCAGTGAGGTGTTATTTTCTTTGTGATATTGTGAGTGCAGAATTATGTATGAACGTAAGTTGGAGATGTAAATATATTTAATAATGTATTTTCATTGATAGAATCTCAACAACCCCAAAGCCATACATGTTAAGACAGTTAAGTCATGAAATAATCTTATATGTAATTATATTTTGTGAAATATAATCTATTATTCTGCTTATAATGAAAATTAAGATCTGTAAATAAATGTATGACAATTTCTTTATATTTTTCTGTTGCTCATTCAATAATAATAATTTTTTAATGAAAATGGGACTTTCAAATATTATTATGAAAGCACAAACCAGATAATCTTGTTAAGTGATAAAACAGTATCACACCAGAAAAATAGGGGCTACTGGTTATTATATATATATATATGCAAAAATAAACAAGCATTGTTCTAATGACACAATAGTTTGTCAAAGCTGATAATTCAATAGATTGTCAAAAAAAAAAAAAAAACACCCCTTTAAAAAGCTCTCACATTTTGAATTTTTCATGGTAATAAATAAAATGAATATTGTGTTACCAGTACATCATGTCTTTTTTTTTTTTTTTTTTTTTAGTTACAATGAACATATGTACATACATTGTATATATTAAATTTATAAACCATTTAGCTATATAAAATTGCTTATGAAATTGTTGCATATGAGTAAGATACATATTATATATATATATATATATAATATTACAATAAGACTGTGTAGCACTTACTGTTCTAACAATGTCAAAGCAATGTAATGTGAATATATGGCGATTAAGTAATAGAAATGTAAAATAAAACAAAGTGTTTAAGATTAAAAAAATAAATAATAAAATAAGTAACACGAAAACAAATCCTATAGTCTGCTTGGACTGTGCCACTACTGCCCATCTACTGTTAAAGAGGACCTACGTTAATACATTCTACTGGTCACTATAAATGTTATTCCTATTTGTAAATACAAGTTAACCTTAACTTTCCTTCCTTGGCGTGAATGGGCTCATTGCATCTAGGTCATGAATTATAAAAGACAACAGCGACCATAAAAAAACAGTAGTAGTTTACAACTTTAAAGGAAAATATGTTAACATTGATTGCCTTAGCACTTTTACTGGTCAGACGTCGTTACGAATTAAATGTAAGGGCATTATTACTTCAGATAGGATGCAATTTCTGGTCCAGACAAATGGAAATTTAATCGACTACGATTGTCGACCTCAGCATTACGGCTGACTGTATTGGTGATGTCATCCTAATTAGTCCCCTTTATATTTTGACGCTTTAAAGTAAGTATGAAACAACAGTCTTTTATTTCAATAAGTACGTCACTAGCAGAGTGGTTAGTATGTCGGATTGAGGAGGCTTGAACCATGAGTTCCAATTCAGGTCATTCCTCCACTTTTTTTTTAATGCTTTTTAAAAAATCCATTACGGTAAAATTAATTCCTATCACCCCACCCCCACCCCCTCATTTTCCCAACTGGTCTAGAAAAGTGATAGCATCATTGCGTATTGAGAAAGCTAAAGCTTGAAATTGCGCGTAACAAAAAAAATCGTAGAAATGTTTCAAATCGCACAGATTTATTATGGTTAGTCGAAATTTATTGCAAAGTTACTTGCATGACTGTTCCAAATTAATTGATACAACTACGCTTAATAAATGGGTATATACCTATATATATATATACCTAAATATGTGTTTACAGTCTATTCTAACTTACATTTCTGTGCCATTTTCTCCCCGTTTTATCCGATACAGCAGTTCCAAAAAAGTAGTCCTAATTGAAATAACCATTTTCCATTCTGTTGTCCATTTCCTAATGCCAATTATTCTAAAACACCACAAAAAGAAAATGTTTTACGTATTGAGTTTAAATAATGTCACCAGTTAGAACTCATACGTAGATCAATGTTTTGTATATTAAACAAACAAGCAAAATAAAAATTAAAAAATCATTTTAAAAAAAAAGCATAGCTTATCTAAAGGGGAAGAACTCTGTCCATAAAACTATTTGTACCAGTAATGTACAAGTTATTTACTTTATTCGATATCAAACAAAATAATTTATGACCAACAAATATTAAGTAATTTTGTTTATTGATTTAATTACCAGTAATTAATTGACTAATTGGTTACTTATTTTTTATTGATTCGTGTCTTGTGTATGCAAATGAATAATTGTGCGAAGTTTCAACGTGATTCGAGAGAGGGTGTGGGAGAAATAACGTGTAGGCCTACACACCTTTTACCAGACAGACAAACAGACAGACAGACAGAGTGAATTGATTGATATAAGCTTTGTAAAAATGTGGCTTGCGTGACACATGCATGATAAACTTGTAATGCCTAAGAAAGAACAGAAAAAGCTGGACAGGAATTGATTTTGTTTTTTTTTACCACTTTATAAATATGTTCATAGTCAATATAGACCAGGTTAAGTATAATATTTATTAAAATTATTATGTTATAATTTAGGTTTAAAACAGAGATCTCTTTTTCGACCACGCCCATTATTTCCCGCACCGAACTGTATGAATATTCATGTGTTCTTCTGACGTGCAATTGTAACTTGTTTTGAAGATTCATGGTTGAAAGTGGAAACAAAACAAAAGGGAGGGGGAGCGGCTTTCTTTTTGGTGTATCCGGTGTACGAAATTCAGGAAAGGCTGTTTTTGAGATGCACTTTTTGAACACTGCAGAATCAGCAGTTCCGTTTGTATCAAAAATTAATTTCAGAATGGTGTTAAGCATTAGACATATATAAATATAGACTGAAAAAAGGAAATAACTTCATGTAACTTGAAAACATGTATATCTATTGTTGTCGGATTTCCAAATTCTGAAAGTTGCATGATCTTCAGTCTTAGAGATTAAACAAAACTACACTGCTGTATAATAAATTACACACATAGACATAAATTAATATAGACTGGCCGAAGGAAGTAACTTCATGTATCTTGAAAGCATGTATATTTTTTTTATTCGGATTTCCGAATTATGAAAAATTGTATGATCTTCATTCTTAGAGATTAAACAAAACACTAGTGAAAACATTTTAATACTTATAAAGGTTATGGCTGAAATAGATATGAATACTTAACTTTTATACTGCTCATAAATGCTGTATAATAAAGTACACAAAATTGCAAGTCACAAATTTTCGTTTCATAAAAATCTTTTATCGGCCAGTTTATATTTATTTATGTCTATGGGTCTTAAGCATTAGACTTTTCATTCTATGACGTCAAACTTATTTCAAAACAAATGGGCAAGTAACTAGCAG